AGATTTGAAAGCGGGTCAAAAAAGAGCGGTTATAATATACGGTATACAACGGGAACGGGAATGGAGGCATCGGAGCGATCCGTTTTTGCTCTCGCCGACGATCATAAATCAGTAACGCGCCGTCTGATTCGCGGATCAATAAGAGTTCAGTTGGCTCGTTACGAGAACGACGTTCAGCGCGAAACAATGGTCCATGCTTTTCGCGTTTTCCGTTCCGCGGTATGAATCCAGCCAATGGTGCCGTTCCATAGATTGCAGCGGAGAAAATCGGCCCGATTTTTGGATGTGTTATTCAAGGGATCGCAGATGAAAAGAAGTTTTATGTGAGAAAGGCGTTTCAATTCCGGAAAAGGCCTTCGCTATTCAGCAGCTATCGCTACTCAAGCGTTTGGAAAAAATTCTAGACGCGATACTTGCAATTTTATCGTGACAGTCGTGAAAGCTCTGCGAGACTACTTTGCTTTCCTTTTAAACTGGAATAAAATTTTAATACAGTTTATTTTTATTTTTATTTTTTTTTATTTTTTGTTAGCTTACACAATCTCTTTTTTGCGTAATCTCGTGATGTTCAGCGTTATGTTATTTTCATTATATTCCAGAGCATTTACAGAATAAAAATTTTAAATCCTTGAAATGGTATATCTCGCAGGTTTATAAAGGAAATTATAGGTATATAGATTATCCGGGACTTTTTTTCATAGTAGACATTTGAAAAACGATCACGCTGCAACTTTTTTTAATGCAGTCTTTAAATCTTTCAAAAATTATAACTTGGGAAAAAAACGGTGAAATTCGCTTAAATTCAAGCGTATAATAAAGTGCACGCTCATAGTTTGCGAAATATTTGCGCTCCGATATGCTGTGTCGACAAGGTATTGATTAAGTAAACTATCATTGAGATTAAGATCGACAGAAACCCTGTAGAATATCCTATATAGGCCAGCTAAATAACTCACTACACGACAATCTGTATAGACCCGCGAAGCGATATTCTACGTGAATTGGAAAAGCTTTTTCGCGTTGCCGCAATCTAGAAACCAATTGCGGGTTTACATTTCTTCGAGTTCGAGTGCTGTTCTTAGGATTGGCTGAAACTTTTACGAGGCCAAGTAGAATTTGTTAGCCGGGCTTCTCGAGTAAATAATTCCAAATAAAAATACAATCGCATTACATATTTCTTTACGTTTCTTTTGGTACATTCTTGCGTTAGTGTTATCGTTACACGCCGCTATTATTATTTTCGTTATGATATAAATCGTATAAAAAAAACTGGCATAATTGTTTGTCGTGGCGCGTCGTGAAGCATCGATTCTAATTCTAAATCGGTTCTGACTGCACTATAATGCACTCGCGCACTGAATCCGCCCACAGTTCTCAATGCTTAACTCAACGTCCCAAATCCAATAAGAAGAGGCTCGTCCGTCGTCAGACGAAATGAGGTGCTCCGACGAGGCGAATATCTCTCCTTCTCTCTCTCTCTCTCTCTCTCTCTCTCTCTCTCCCGCCGGCGAAATTAGCGTTTTCGAGTCACTTGAATTATTCAACTGCGCTACTACATAGCGCCGCCTTATCTTCCGGCTTTAATAATTTTCCCGGTCGTGCTGCAATTGCGGCACGCAGAAAGTCTGCCCCATTTGCTACTGCATATCCGCCAGAGAAGAGTTCGGTTCCTCTTCTGAATTATAAATGCCGCGGATGAGAGAAAACGCAAGGGCTGTGCGTTAGATCTGAGTGTGGCCAAAAGAGGAGAAAAAAAATTACCCTGGAATTTCCTTCGAGAACATTTTCTAGAGATATTTATTAATGGCATAAATTTATACGTAATGTACACGCAATATAAAGTACATAGACATACTAAATTGACGGTGATTATTCCTAAAAAGAAATTCCAGAATGATTTTGCATACATTTTTTTTACAGAAGTTAACGTTTTCTTCAGACAATTTCTTGCAGTTACTTGCAAGTGACGTAATGAGAGAGAGAGAGAGAGAGAGAGAGAGAGAGAGAGAGAGAGAGATACGAAGTTACTTTCTACGTGGATTAATGCCGGGGCGGCTAACACCGAGGCGAAGTAAACGGCATTACCTCACCTCGGCGTAATAAAGAGGAACTAATTTCCCTCTTCCGGGCGCGCGGGAGGATACAGGTCAGCCTTCTGCATTGCATGCGCACCGGGGGAAAATGATTAAGCCCGAAATATAAGGGTGGTAGCAGCTACATCAGGGTTGTATCCTGTTGAATAATTCTCACGGCGACTTCAAAGCGACTTCAACACCGTAGGTTAGCAATCTAAGCTTGTGAAAATTTCAACGTGGCATGAAGAGGGCTTTGAGAATACCTTCTTGCGCACGCAAACCTTCGAATATCCTCATACCTACAAAATAGTTTCTTCCTCGAACTTAAGCGGTGTGTTCCCCTCTTTCGCCCTCCCTTCCTTTCCGGAAGAATCCCCAATTAATATTAATGATACGACAATAGCGGCACGTGCAGTGTTTATATGAAAAATCATTGGTCCTCCAGAAAGAAATTCGCCGCGTACTATATGCGTCTACTCTGTGTGGAGCGCACGTGTAACTGTAACTCCCTGTAAATTGCAGCAAGATTGCCCAGAAATTACACGTGCAATGAGCCGATCGATTGCACGGAAATAGAACCTGCTATATAATACGAGAAATAAGGATATCTGCGGCATACAATGAAATATATATTGAAAGTGTTCCCTCTCTTTATGCTAGAGAAATATTTTATAGAATAATATATCTAAGAAAATGAGGACAGAGAGGAGAGGAAAGATCAACTCTAAATAAAATTATATATTTAACCGTACTGGTACTGAAATAATATAATTTTTAGGATTTTATGTCATAAATTGTTGTTATTAAAAATGTAAAAATACGCGCAAGAATTATTTTCAATTATGGAGAGAGAATCAGTATATCGGTAGGTTTAATATTCGAGGAAGAACCTCTCTGATGACTGAAAGTTCACGGAAGAAAAATATTTCGTGAAATTTAAAAATATCCGGGTAATTTAGTCGGTGACGTTGGAAAAAGAGCGATTTTCGCCGAGGTCTTGCTCTCGCAGCTTCCATCTCTCTCTCGATTTCTCTTAATAAAAACATGACAAAAATGGAGTAGTTACACTAACATGTCTCTCAAGACAACGGGCCCGGCTATTGTTAGCGCGTATTACGCGCGATGAATATGTGCGTTCGCATACTTAGCTCACTTAAACGTGATTAACTCGAACAGAATTGCGCATCATTCCTTCCAATGCAATTGCACGAAGACGACGTCGTTTGGTTTTCTCTCCTTGATCTTTTACGGTGTGAATTCTCGTGACAAAGGTCTAGCTTCTCGGCAAGCGAGCAAACTTTCGCGACCGCGTTTGACAATCTCTTCTGTTCTCTCGGTTTTCTGCCCTATGGCGCTGATTCTTCTGACTGTCCTAAATTTTAAAAAGAGTTAGAGGAAAGAGAGCTTAAAATTGTTTTAAAATATTGAACCAGACTCGATTAAATTACATTTAGTACTTTTGCAAGGAAAAGGTGATACCTAAATAAAATCGAGGTGACGATTTTCTTGTCTTTTAGAGCAATTTTTATTTTAATTTCCTAACTAAAAAAGTATTTATTAGGGCAATTTGTTTCCATTAAAATTAACCTCGTTGTATCGTACTTTCAATCTTGCATCAAATTAAGTGCGCTTGGAAGTTATTTCTCATTCTATTTGTTCTGCGCATTTTATCTAAAATTCAGGATATCCGCGGGAAAAATTGATGAACCGCAGATGCGGCTAGAAATAAGAAAACAAATTTACTGAGCGAGCGCGGAGGGACAAAGATATATTTCCGTGACGTGACCTATAAAGCCTTCTTCGAGGTAACGCTCCAAAGTTATCATTCGAAGTCACCGTGTAACTTTATATGGCGGTTATAATGGCAAGAAATGTAATTGTAAAAGCTTGTGTCCCGAGTGCGCGGCGGAGTCCCAAGTTCGCCGCGCCTGCCTGGAATGCGACGACTTATTGCGGGCAGGCGTTAACTTTTTCCGCTCGGCGCGGTTGGTAAACGCGGCTAAGCTGGATCGCTGTGTATCTCCCCTGTCTACGCCGGTTTACTTTCCCTGCCGGGTTTTACTCGCGGAATTATTATCACGGTAGACGACGGCGAGATCTACCGTGACGGTAATTCAGCCTGAAGCGTGACGTTTTTACGACCGTGGAAAGCGCTCCAGAAGCGCTCTGCGTATAGTCGTGCGTATATATGCATATACCGGTATTACGATATACTCGAACGTATTGCGAATTCTTTTAACGAGAGAGCGAGGCGATCCCGACAAAACGATCGATCATTTACGCTTGTGTAGTTTCGGGGAATTTCACGGAGGCTCTGCGGAGAGAGAGAGAGAGAGAGAGAGAGAGAGAGAGAGAGAGAGAGAGAGCTGCTCTATTTAACACCTAGGGATTCGCGTCGCTTAAGCTAATCGAATTATAGTCTTGCATGCCCGGGAGATTCGCTGAAGTATTCATTAGGCAACTGAGAACAAGCGCGGATTATTCGTTGCTGTAATCGAAGGGGATGTGATACGCGCTACACAGTATACCTTCGAAAATTGCGATATTGAGTTATGGATAACTTGCTATTCCTCATTCAATGGAAACTCGATATGAAACTTTCAATAACAACATTGTACGGCTGCGTATGCAGTTTTTTCCAACAGGACATTGTTTGCAAACAAAATTTTCGTGGACTATAATTGCTGTGACCGAAAATTCCGAAAAGAAATACTATACCTTCATGTAACAAAATCGAGTTAGTATTGTTAGTAACTGCATTTAATTTATTTTTTCATTTCTATCTTCTTTTTTTTACGATCGCGGGTTTCCAATCGAGGTACATTTTTTCCGATGTACGAAACAAAAAAAAAAAACAATTTACGCGTTGATTTCTTGTGATATTCGAAACCGTATTTATATATCGTTGTCTGTTATCTTTTTCAGCCAACAAAGCTCAACGTCTACAAGAACGATGCCGAGAGCTGGGACTACACAACGCCCACGCTGGGTGAGTCTGCCTCTCTTTCATCTCCCTCAGTTCTTTTTTTTTTTTTATTTCTTTCTATTCGGTGTTATGTACGTGTAACTTCATAACATACACCACTCCCTGCGCGTCCCTCGGACATGCGTTTCAGCAATGGACAGCATGAAAGTGCAGAATCGGACAAGCCCGCTCTTTTTCGAACGTCGCTAAGATATTTGTTGATATCATTCAACACGTTTCTCTAAATAAGTCAACGAATACTTTCAAATTTTAATTACATATCGTTAACATATTTAAAAATATAATTTTGAAATTTTAATTCTAGTGCGTTGCAACATATTTTTTAATTGTAGAAGTGACATATATTTCATAGTTAATTAATTTTTGATAAAAATGTTCACGTGAACAAAATTTATTTAGAGGCTGTCAAATTTCTGAGAGCAAGCGACAAACTGCGTTTATTGAATGTTAAAATTTATTCGTTAAAAGAGATGGACTTGCTCGATTTTCGTACCCAAATCGTCAATTGGATCGCATTCTACAGAGAGAAGCCAATGATGTTCAGCTGACTTTTTCCTGCAGAATCCGATTCAATTAGCGACGTCCATTACGTACGTGCGAAACGCACGGAGGATCGTTCCCGACGTCGAAGGTGTTGCGATTTCTCCCCTTTTTTAAGTTCATCATTTGTGCCGCTTCTGTACCTCGTTGCTCACGATGGGTAAAGCTTAATTGGATTCAAACGGTATTCAGACGCAAAAAGGTTTCGCCGACACCCGGCCTTATTGCTCGCAAGCTTCGAAGAAAATATTTTTTCTCAAATATTTTATTTTTCTATTTAAAGAGAATATTAAGAATGTGAAATAGTCTGCATTTCTGGCCGACTGTAGACATCTTTTTTCTCTTTTTGTAAATTTTAAATCTTTTGTAAATGTTAAATGTTGAATAGCTTTCTGTACGTTAAGCTTTTACCACGTGAAAAAGCGATGGCGAAAAATAGCTCGTGCGAAGGAAAGCTTACGATCGAAAATCCGTCGAAATCCGACGATTTTCGAAATGAGAGGCGGATACCGAAACCGCGCGACAATGCGATGGGAACGATCCTCGAGCTTGAAAATCGCTCGACCGTCATACGCATGAATTCGTCGCGGACATTCACTCACCACAGAATCCGAATAGATCTATTATTCACTCTGGAATACGAGACGACGAGAGAGCGTAGGAAATATGGAAGTGCGTGATAATTTGGACCACCCGATGAAAATATCCCGAAGCGGCAAATTACGCAAATGCATCGTAATGAGACTATATTCAAAATACATCGCGTATATATACAAGGGTATTAAGTGAATTTTTGACGCGGCAAAAGCAGGGTCGCGACGCACCATCGCGAACATCAACCCGGCTGGCAACACATTCCACGAATTGCGACTCCGCACGCGGACTTCGTCATACATTACGCTGAATGAAACACGTATTTGTAGCGAAATAATTATATCTTTGATACCCAGCGCTCTTCGCGAGTAACGTGATATTTCAGCTCATTTCGTTGCCTGTATTACATTCTCGCGACGTTATCCATAAGTCTAATCCTATATATCCCACCATCCCGATGACACACACGGCCTCACGAAAAAAGTATGCGGAACAAAAGGCGAAACGGAGTTGGGGACTCATGCTCACGAATTATTCTTGCGAATCACGATTCACTAACCAACGATTAAATCGCTCGGCCGAGGGCGTGAATGCGCGAGAGTAGCGCGCGGCTTTCGCGTTGCAAAAGAATGGCCGTTTAGCGACTCAACGGTGCCGCTTGGTCGTGACGCGTAAATTATTTCTAGTTATCTTGCGACATTAATTACCGCGTTTCTTTCCACCGCGGTTAATGAAGATTACCAACGCCCCACGTGTGGCGCTCGGCGTTTCTCGCTTCGCATTAGCGCCGTTTTCGAGATAATCGCCCTTCGCGTCCGGGGTTGCTGCGGTTTCGTCGCGCGAATTGGAGCGTCAAATAGCAATTACGCGAAGACAATATAGCAACGCGAGTTCATTTCCGCGAGTAAGACGCCGGTGAAATAAAAAGTCCGTCGCTGAAATTGATCCGTAACTAAGAGGAAACAAGATTAGTAGAGAAAAGGGCTTTCCGGTATTGTAGTAATATATAATTCATAGTAATTATATATACAATTAATCCATCAATTATGCTTAAACAGACACGCGAAGAATTTGAATCTCTCTTTGTCGTAATAAATTATTAAGGTAGCATTTAGATAATCATTAATTTTATATGTTCTTAATGAATACAAAAATTAATTTTTTATTTATTGATTTTTCTAACGAAATTAAGTTTTATAATGAAAGAAATTACGTTTGAAACTTTGCATCCATTCAATTCAAATGCCTGCTTTAATAAAGAATATCTTTATCATTATATTTTTAATATTTGAAAGACAAAAAGATTTAAGTCACGCTGCGATATCGTTTACCAACTTGCGCATTTTAAATTTCGGCGCTGAGATCGCGAACTAATGTAATCAACTTAAAGTTGCGCTAATACTCTGAAGGCCTGAAACATGAAGGGAGTTATATTCGGGTATGGCAAGTTCGACAGTTAGCTAACGCGTGAACGCGCGTAGGACTTCCGTATTACTGCGAGCAGCAATTAACGGGAAGCAATTGCCGGAATATCGCGTGCCAGGTACAAACCTTACAAACGGGATTTCAGTCGAAACGACAAGCGAGCAGGGCACTCGAGGAATTCGTCCCAATTACGACACGGCCTGACGTTCCGTCACCAACAGATGCCATCGACGGCGTACCCTTTCGACTGCACGAAATCCCCGAGCCCTTAGAGAGATGGATTTCCGCGCTAATTGGCGCCGTTTTCAGACACAACAAACAGAACTCGCTAAGAGCTTGGTCCTACAAGTATCTTCATAATATTGACCACGCCCATCACGGTCGTTCTCGCTCATGGGATTAATCTTTCGGGTTGTCGTTTCCATTTAGAACTTATGAAACTGAATTTGGAATGAACCGCGAGTGAATCTAGAATAGTTGTTTGAAAGATCGTATATTGGAGAAGTTGTTAAGTAATGTTAGCGCTAATTTGTATGTATTCTACTTGCAAGCAAATATCAATTTTTAGAGATTTAATGGCACAAAGTTCCATTTTAAATTTAATGACCAAAATTTGAATTGTGTTTGCGCGTTTAACGTTAGGTGAAATTGTTTGCACAATATATACGCTCCCCTTAACTCGTTATGATGCAACATTAATTAAATTTCACTTTTTTGAATATCATCTATAAAAAGGTTATATATTGTTTTATGTTGCATTATCGACGTGCTTCATATCGTTTTCGCAATTAAGTTCTAAAAATGGATAAAATTCAGATCAAGGGGCTCGTCAAAAGCACTTTCAATATATCCATCCGAACGACAAAATAAGACAATTATAAGAAACTGGAACTATTTATAGATCGTATCAATTGCTGGATAGAGAACTGTCTTGTTTATCATTGAAAGGAACTCGATTGCGAAATCCCCTTCGGGATCCGCGTCGACAAACCCGTCTGCCGAACTAATTGCATCGGAGATGGGTCAGGTCGATTGCTGTACTTCTAACCTTTCCAGCCTCGCATCCGCATCTCGCGGATGAAAGTTTCATTAGGTCTAGAGGCGATATCGCGCGGTTACAACCGCAACCTGCATTTCCGCGAAGGAGAAGCGGCCGCGTCGTCGTTTTTGCACGTTCGAGATGGTTGCCATCGTGTGCATCGATCCAAATGCCGCCGGCAGCCGAGCCTTTTACCGTGAAAGTGGCGTAAATCAAATTCTGATCGCGTAATCAGCTTAAACACCGGATATCAATATGAAGCCATTTATTTACGTATTTTAAAATGAGCAATAGATGACTTAGGTGTTCGGAACTTGAACTTTAGCTTCGAAATCAATGATCTAGCAAGCATCTAAGTGGGTGAAAGAGTCATGCCACATTCTCACTGACATAGTGTAATCGTTGCTAATTAAACCGCTAGTTTCCAATAAAACGAACAATGGAGCAACCAGCAACCCGAAATAAACTGGCTTGCCTTAACTTTGTATTTTAATCAACCGGTACGTGAGAGCAGCATTGTATAATTGTACAATGGTGCGCCTCCATCTTCGCCATTCTCCGGGCGATTAAGATTTGCGATTAATCTGCGCTGCCTATGTCGTCCGGTTACATTATACTCACAGAAATAGTGTTTAGCCGGACGCGATCAATTCCCCCCCGATCGCGTTACTCCTAATTTTCTGTCACCGACGATCCGGTATTCCGATTTGGCAACGGTAACGACGACGACGACGACCCTCGGCGGGCTCCGTCATTGGCTCCGACGTTCGTTTCTCCGTTCTCCGTGTGTATAAATGTCGCGCACAAAGGATGTTGTCGTCGATGTCGGCGAACAAAGCCAAGTTTGTTTCGAGAAAGTGGTCTGGTCGATGGGATTTTATTACATCGCGCGTACGAGGTACCTATCCGGGGCAACACGACCAAATAAACGGGTAACATTGTCACGAGCAATAGTAAGACCCCATTCGCTTTTGTCGCGCGAATTGAAATTTCTACGTTTAACGGAGAAATGGGGAGCGAAACAAAAGCGGGAATCCTGATGAGCGCAAGCAAGTCTAATAGATTTGTTTTAATGGACACGCATACTTGTTTTTCAAAATCTTCTCTCGCTCGTTGAATAAACCTTATATCTTTTAACTTGAACCTCTGGGACCGACAGATCCGCGAGAGAGTCACGTATTGATCCTCTCTTTTGTCAGAAAGTTACAAGTACACGCAAATGAAGGTATATATGTCACTCGCTGAGAAGCATCTGCGCTTGACGGAAAACGTCTTGCTTTGTCATCCTAATGCATTCATTCATAAGAAATTCGCGAACTTTTTAATGCATCTCGTTTACTGTATCTATAAAGTGGTCCGTGTTTCTGTTTTTCGTGCGACTTTCTTCGCGAACGGAAGTTCTTTA